TGATTAATTTCTACTGTTGCCTATGCTTAACTTGCTTAACTACTGTACTCCTCCACTTTTTCTGACGACAATACCTGATGTTGCACCCATGACGACGGAAATTACACAAGTAACAAAAACCCATAATAATGTCATCATTCCCGTTTTGATTAACGATACACTATGACGGTCATTGATTAACGATACATTATGACGGATGACCGTTTCTATGCATTGTGATTTGTACAGTATTGTACAGTGTACAATTGTACACAGTACGCCTGTGCAACCGACGCAGTGATTTGGCATAGTTTAATAACATACTTTTCTGCAGTGAATCTGCACTATCACAAATGTAAGTCACACTTTTAAAATCAGGTTCTATACGACCGGTCACTCCGACCGTAAAAATTCACCCCCCCCCTCCCTCCGTAAAAATTCTCTGCAAGCTTCTCATCAAATTATTCATAATATCATCTGAATGGTTCGCGTATCGTTAAAGAAAGCACGGTGGAGAGCGCGTCATTCCATATTTTAAAAATGTTATAGTAGAAAAACAGGAAGCTGCTTAATTAATATGGTGGGAAAAATTATGGTATATTCCGCCTCTTGGTGCCTGCTTCGCCATCATGTCGGGTATGGTTGTCGTCGCTCATTGTTAGCTCGTCGGGTTCATCCTGGTTGTCCAGTCTGATTCTCGGCCGAATACGCGCCACGTGGACAAGCGATTGCATTTCTCGATTTTCGCAAACTGGTTCCTTCGATGGACACAACCAGGGAATGATCCAAGTGCCACCGTAAATCAGAAAAGAAGACGATACGTCGATGTGGCGAAGCAGATCGGTGATTGGTTGGCATTCCAGCATCTGCGTGTAGGGAAGACGCCACAAGCACAACGTACTGCTACCGATGTAGGCGAACGACCACGCGAGATCTATGCCATTACCCAGCCAGTAAGAAAGCGTGCTAAAAACTAGAATTATTCCCGATACGATGAGATTGTGTGATTGCTGGCAGGATTGCGGCGCGGCGGAGTTCGGACTGGGACGCTGAAATTTCTCGTTGCGTAATTTAAGGTGACGCCACGTGGAAATGCAGCAGTGTGATGATCGCAGCGCAAGCCAGCTGGTGACAACTCTGACACAATACCCGTTGTTTGTTTACCCAATGCGCTTCCAAGGAGAACAATCCTAATTTTTAAAACATTGAAATGAAACTACCCAAGATTTTTTCGTCTGCGCAATCCATTTATTCCAGCCCTGCCGCGACAAATTAGAGAAGGTAAAAAATTTTTTAACTCTTAGCTGGGACAACTAACCAGGGCCCGGTCACCGACTCCCCTCACAAAAAATTCATTTTTTGCTCAAATACAGATTTAGTGCTGGTAATCATAAAAAAAGTAATTTCACTGGCAATGGCCCAGTGGGCGTGGCCAGAAAACAATCTGAGTTTTTAATACAAACCGTATGTATTGTAACGTACTGTACATATTCCCACACTGCTGGTTATACGATTGAAAAATTATGTTCCGAGGCGCGGCTATTGTATTGCCTGTTATTACTGCAGCCTTGCCTACTTCCGTTGACATTACTTACCGCACATAAATTTGTTTTTAACCACGCCCACTGGGCCATTGCCGATGAAAATACTTTTTAAGTATTCCCAATGCCTACTCTGCCTTCAAACACAAAATCAAATTTTTCTGAGGGGGGATATACCGTATATTTTGCTGAACTATTGCGATTGAAATTACGGGACAAAATTGTATATGGTGTCGCTTTCGTATAAGTGTATGAGTACTATACTTGTACAATGTACGACAAAAAGAAGTTGATGGCTCGGTTTTAAAACATATTGTGCGCACTGGCTGTTTTCCTTGTTGCAAACTGATCTCCGTTTATGCGTGTGTGGGTTAGTCAGTTCTACCACCCATTTTTTGTGAAGTACGTAACAGAATCACTCAACCATTATCTCAAAAGATCCAGAAAAAAATTACGAAATTTTTGACTCCAAACTGACGTGATGCTGCGCCTTTTTATACTGTAACCCCCAAAGCTGAATTCAGCAGAACAAATGAAAGATATGTGGAGTAAACTGTAGCGATAGTATTTGCACAACCGATAAGACCACCACCATCATTCCATCGCGTTATGAGTTCTGTCCACTTTACCGGCTAGTTCTCCTTCTCATATACTGTGAGATATTGTGGCTTTCGAGAGTGGTACGCATGCAAACATCGTATTCTGCACGTTTTGCTAATGTTGTTAATGTTCTCATTCTTCTTAGCATTTCGTGTGATCCCACATACCTTCGCAGGCTCACAGTATCCTTCGTGTATCCTCCATGTATCCCGCTAATTTTCTTAGATATCTAAAGCTTTCTTAGGGTTTTAGGTTCTTGTTTTCTTAGGGTTTTTAATGGGATACATATACGATACGTAAAGGATACTGCACAGATGCGAGGGGATACGGCGTTGAACAAAAAGAAGCCCAAAAATTGTGAGAATAAAATTAATGACGTACACGTAGGGGATACCGTGTGATACGGCGGGATACTGCAGATACTAGTAAAAACAATATACCGCAAAAAAAGTTAACGTGTACAGTTCTGTATACAAAGTCGCCGGTACAAAGTTTACATATTCATTGCTTTTACGCCGGTAAGGAGAAACACTGCATCATTGAATTGGAATTCGGAGAATTATTAGGGGATTTGGCTCGTACATAGCACCAGATTCGAGTACACTGGCGGGATTATTCGCTTTCTCGCACTTCCAAACACTTTTTTGAATTTCTTTTTGCTGTTGTGTAGCAAAATGATTTGTATACAGAGGCGTGAAATCCGTTTTCGCGCGCAACATCCGGTGCGGGAGTTAGGGCTGTTAGAAAAATTCCAAACAGTTTAAATGCATTCAGGTGTACCAAAAGTCTCATTATGGACCGATCCCTTTCAAATTTTGCATATAAATACACTGTACACATAACCATGAAGATCGTTCTTACACGGATCCAGACTTCCACGATTTTTTTCGAATTTTAAAATGAATTTTAAAATTTGAAAAACGTGCTAGAACAGTGGATCGGTGTAAGAACGATCTTCACCGTTATGCGCATTTACGTGCAAAATTTGAAGGCGATCGGCTTATAATGAGACTTTTGATACACCGGAATGCATTTAAACTTTGTCGAATTTTGTTACCCTCCGCAACCGGATGTTGCGCGCACCAACGGATTTCATACATACGTATATAACTCTTTTGGCTACAAAAAACCATAAAGCAATGCAAAAAAGTATTTGGGAGTGCGCGACAGGGAAAGTTCCTGTGGATGTACACGAATTTGATGCTACGTACCGGGCCAAATCCCTTAAATTTAGGCAGAAAAATGACAATGGTTTGTAAGCATGCATCTCAGCAACCTTCATCACGGCTGATCGTAAAACCTTTCTACGGCAACGCCTTTACCGGTATGATAAGCACAATCATCTAGTTACTGTTTACGTCTGTCTTCTTTATGCTCTGGCCGTTATACTGCCCATTAACACCGTAGTCGCGGTTGTTGAAATCTCTTTAAAGACAGTGGGAAGATCCACATGATGGGAAGATTCTCCTCCATTATCCCCATAAATAAGACAGATGGTCAAGTGTGTAATAGCTCAATGATACTTGATGTATCATTGAGCTCCTTAAAATATAATGAGACTTCTCGAGAAACGCGTTCTGTATACAACACGGAGACTTCATGCGGCGCGGCTTACGACATTTAAAATTAATAGTTTTGAGAATATACGTACAGTATATATCGCTGTCTCTTAATATCATTATATCACAGACGAACGGAAAGACAGACAATTCTGATCTGGACCATCAAGAAGACATTTTACAAGAAGACCTTTAATTGAGTCGCATAGTTAACAGATTTTAACATTATGCATTTTTGCAAAGTTATTCCTTGTTATCCATAATGAAGCATCATGAATTTTATATGCACTGCAGCCGTTACCATACGTACGTACATATATGTATGCAGTTTCTGTGCGTAGCAACGCATACTGCATGCAAATGACCTTCTCAATTTTCAGACAGACCGAACTGCTTATTTTGCGCGGTATAGTTGTACCTTACCTCCGTTAGGTTTGAATTCTGGTGTCATATGCGAGATCAAATAAGCAGGAGTCAGGAATTTGTAGTTAAATCGTTCGAATTAGTAGTATTCTGTTATTGCCACTGTAATACTATTACTCCGCCCACTGTACTAAAAGCCAGCATCATGAAGTTCTCCCTCACTGCGATCTCCCTTCTGCTTCTCCTGGCCGTATTCAGCGACCCGACGGCGGCCCAGTTGACTGGCACCATGGACTCCACGGGTCTGGCCTATCTGCAGCAGACCGCAATGGCCGCCCGCCTCCGCCGTGCCGACGACAACGCGGCATTTGGCCATCCACGCTCGGTACGCTGCCTGTGCCACGTATTCCCACCGTGTTGCGAAGAAGGCGACTGGCCGACATACACATATAATTACCATAATAATTATTACTGGGGCTAATATTTACTGAGAAATTCCTATGTTTTTTCACCGCATCGTAGCCAGCCAATGTTTGGTTTCTGTATTGCTAGCTTTACGAAATAAGAATTAATTGCAAGGTTAAGCATGCTCCGATATCCAAGAATGTCCAAGTTTGATTATAACGCCAGTAAGAGTTATGTCAACACTGTAAATACGATTCCGCAGCTGTTAGCTAGTGCCTAGAGGTGTCTTAGACATCATACGATTTGAATATCCTGTATAATCGTTTGCGGCGCTAGAGGTCATCAAGAAACCAGTGTCAAGTCGAGAAAAGACTTCGGAAATTCCGACAAAAGGCTTTCTACAACTGAGTGTTTATAAAATTAAGAAAATTTTGCCAAGTTTTACGAACAAGTGGATTTAGTGGAGGTGTAAGAGCTCAAGACGAGCCGAACGAATTTGGAAAATAACTAATACTGATACAGGTATCTTCATTACCCGACCAACATACGGCGGAAGAAGTTCGCGTGGAGCAAAGACGAATAAAGCCTGTTAATAAATTTCGAAGCTTTAAAATGCCACTTGCTTCAATAAGTAAACATTTTTGCACGGTGCTGAACGTGTCTGTACAATGTATCACACTTCACCTCAAAAAAATTACTGAAATAAAAAGCCAAAATTCTTACTACTGAAAGCTGGAAAATTTTATAGTGCCACAATCAATGCCACCCGTGACGTATTACGTCCGCCATTTTCCTGTTTCGCTAGAATGTGTGGTATGGTTGTCGTCGCTGTGTATTAACCCATCGGTTCATCCTGGTCGTGCAGCTTGCTACTCGGCTGGATGCGTGCTGTCGACATAGTTGTGGGCACAATGTTTCGCAGCTCTAGGTTTTCGAGAGCTGGTTCTTTTGGCGGACACAACCAAGGAATGATCCACGTGCTACCGTAAATCATAAAAGAGGACGCCACGTCGATGTGACGAAGCAGATCGGTGATTGGCTGGCATTTCAGCATCAGCGTGTAGGGATAACGCCACAAGCACAACGAGCTGCTACCGATGTAGGCGAACGACCACGCGAGATCTATACCATTCCCCAGCCAATAGAAAAACGTGCTAATAATAAGGATTATTTCCGATACGACATGGTTCTGCGCACGCCGGCAGGGTTGCGGCGCGACGCGTAATACGGCCGTACTGGGACGAGGAAATTGCTGTTGACGGAGTTCAAGGCGGCGCCACGTGAAAATGCAACAAGAAGTAACTGTGGTAGCACAGGTCAACTGGTGGCAACTCTGAAACAATACCCGTATGAGTTGAGTTTACGCAATAGTTCCATACTAAAAAGCTATTTGAAAATCGATACATCATTATCGATACATCAACGAAATTTGCTTATCCCCGTGTTTTCTGTTTTTTTTTTCTGTTTTTGCAAAAACAGCGTTTTCTGTTTTTTTTTCTGTTTTTGCAAAAATAGCGTTTTCTATTTTTCTCTTAAATGCCTGACGATCTTCTGCCTCTTACGCGCTCACAAAACAAAAACGAAACGATTGTATAAAATATTCTTGAAACTTTTTTAATTAAGTAAACGCCCAAATTTTTCGCAACAAGAGTGTAGCTGAAGATCTCAATGATGTACTGTAAGTACGGTACTCGATACCTGGATCCAGCTATACAGTTGGCTCCAGATATGTATAACATGCTGTGTCGCTCCAAAGGCTGATCGAAACCGTCGAACCAGGACAACACTCCCTGCGCTACCAATAAACAAGACGAAACAAATGAATCCTGCGACAAAATATCTGCGTGGCGCTGAGCGCTTTTGCCATTTCAGATAAAGTGCTGGATGACCAACAGCAAGATAACGGTTAAGAGCGTACGCAGCCAGTAACCTGTAATAAGCATAAAACATGAACACTGCAGTCTGCACATGTTTAAGTTCTGCATATGTTCAAGTAACTAGAGCAGTCGTGCTCGTGTACAGGGAATCGGAACGGTCTTTTGTTACTCACCCTTGACATACGTCCTGTAGAAAACCGTCAATAAATATGAGGACCGTCCGGTATTGTGCTAGGCGCAATGATTCACTAAAGCAGCCTACAACCGCCGCCAGGCGGTGAGATGTCCAAAGCAGGAAAAAGCGGTTGCACCTTAAAAATAAACTCGAATACAAATAAACTCGTTTTGTAGCCCCTGCCAAGTTATACGATATGCCATACGTATAAATAAATATGTTAACGATATGCGACACGTACAAATAAAAAACCCGAAGAGGTAGATACGTTAGGACAAAGCCATTCCAACCGTTCACGGGAATTCCGCATGCGGTCTTTTTAATGTCGTTGCCTGACTGGCATTTATTGTACGATCTGGCAAGTAGGACTACAATTGCGATGCCGTTACCCAGAATCCCAACTGGAAACATCGCGATAAAACTGTATGCTGTGGTGGTGTCCATCAATGATTCACAGAGCCGTAGGTGCTTAGCGGACGCGCTTTCCACGCTGGAATTGCCTAGAGGAAATCCGCAGGCATCGGTGCCGTTGTCCATTGTAAGCGCAGTGACCTTTAGATGTCCAGTGAGTGATATCGTCACCACATACACCAAGGTGTGCTTAATTTCTGCAGAACGAGCTGGACTGCCGCTATACAGACCTACAGAACGACCCAATATCAGCGTGCATGGATGCTACACGTTCTGGCAGTTGCTTTTCAAGCATAAAATAACTTATGTCATCACACTGTATGAAATGTAATGAAATTTCGTGGCTTAATCCTGACATTATAATTATGCTGAATATGTTGCTACATGCCGCGGAAGCATTCAACCGAAACTGCCTATACTGTAATATTGTACGAGCTTGTCCCGAAAATTCTATCTTATAAAAGTTACAAGTAGCACGTATTTAGTGCGAAGGTTCTGCTGGCGTTCCGTTCGGAGTAATTGTCACTACACCACATCTGCCACAATGGCACATTCACTGCTATTAATATTTACGTACAGTATATATATATGGACAAAATTGTACATCGTGCCGATTTCGTATACGTGTACCGTGTACTGTACAATATACATATACTGTACTTCTGTTGCATACTTGTGTGTCTTTAACAAATTAAAGCACAATTAATGCAAAATGAACAGAAAAATTGAAATCCACATTGAATGTAATACGAGCTTTGACATTTAAGTACATAAAAAACGCAGAATATATAGAAAATTTTTACCTCTTGTAGATGGTAATTTCTACGTACGGAACAATAGCACTTTGCCGGTGCGAATGTTCACGTCATACGATTGATCCAGAAGGGCGTCGATATTGTCCGCTCAGCCACACCAAGACAGTTGATAGATCAGGTAATCCCAGCGATGGATCTGACAGTACAACCTTAACAATCCAGAGTTAGCGCACATGGGGCGGTTTCAAATATACTGTAATCTGACCGTAACTAAGTTTTCTCGGTTCAAACCGAAGACAGTATTTCTAAATCGACAGCCTAGTAGCAGCGTCCATTACATACAATTTAACGCTACGGATGCTTTAGTTTGTAAATCTCAGATGGTAAAATTATGAAATTGTGTCGGCACCTTTAGTGCTGAACATGGAACGTTTATATGCAAAGATTCCTTTCGGTATGTACAAGCACAAGTACTACCTATGCGCATCGTCGGATCTATCTCTGTATCGCCAATCGACAGGATGATGTACGTAATCGTACATCCGCCATCACTGCCGAAATACGCAACGGAATCTACGGCTAATCGTACACAGATGACTACGGTCGACAATCTCAATATGAACAACTATTTACCACCGTAAAATTGCATAACTTGCCACCGCGCGCTCAACCAGGAACGAAACAGGGCAGACGTTATTAATTGTGGCATATAAAACAGGTAACCGGCTCATTGCAACGGAGAAACGTGTACGGATGCAGCAGGTTGGGCTAATAGTCGCAGTGCACTTGCCTCAACTGCCATTTGCCACAGGCACAAGTACTGACGTAATGCTGGTGTGATTGCCATTCGTACAACCCTTTTTCATGCTTCCTGATAGCTGACACTTGACAGTTAAGGCGACCTAGCCTGAACAATAAAATTTGGAGATGTTCCCGGCAATATACTTAGGTGGAATCAAATTAATTAAGGAATCTCATATACATATTAACTAATGTCATAATATCGTTCGGTGAAGAACACTCTCCTTGCAGTACAATGTACGAGTTACGAGTATATACTGTATGTGCGCTTACAAGAGTTAAATCCATATGTTAAAATAGTAAAACTGTTTATTGGTCCACGGATTTACGGTACAAAATTTTTTAACCCATACCCATCCAGATCTTCCCAAGTGTATGTGACAAAGAGTCGGAGGTAATCCGTTCCACAGACTACGTATATAGAACCATGTGGCTTTAGAATGCATGAAAATACTGTAAACAAACGTTGTCAATTGAAAAAAAGCGATAACCCTGATGATCTTAACACATATGTATGATATGGCCACGGTGGCTTCCTGCTGGAACATCAGTTTCTCTTACCTTAATTTACCTTTTTTATGTCGGTAATAAAAATACTCCATCATTGGATTACGAGCGTCATTAAGGAATAATTGACGAAGGTTGTTAATCACGCACCCAGCAAACTTAATCGTATTCCAACCTTTACGCTATCGTTTACATAGATAGCGATGGTACCGTGCCGCTTGTTGCGGCAGATCGTAAAATCATCCCGTTGTCCTTCTATCAACGACTAGTATGTAACGATATAACGCGCAGAATGGTCTAATTATTGTGTGCGTCTGTCTTTTTGATGTCTTGGCTGCTACTGCCCCATAAGCTCGTTGTCCCGTTGTTAAGACCTCGTTAAAGACAATGAGCCTAATAAACCGGATAATCATCAGACGCTGCAACGGTTCCACCATTATCCACATAGCATATATACATATCAGGGTCGGCGGTTATGTAATAGCGAGATACTTTACCATTTTTTGTACGTCACAGGCAGACGATAACTGTATTCTACTGGAGCAAAGCAGAGGTTCTCTATATTCAAGGCCAACATCGTGATCGATTTCCGTCCATTACGGAAGTCCAGTACGAAAGTAACCGTTTGATGGCACCACAGCCTGAATATCCAGTAGCAGAATCATTTTTTATTAGTAGAATGGAAACGAAGCGGCTTCTGGTGCTGCCTAGCCGATGAATAAGTACTGGAATTTGCAAAACACACGTCGACAAGACAGGGATAAAACCAATTACAATGCACCTATTACTGGTGCTTAGTACTAAAAAGCATATAAAATACAACAATCTATTTCGTCTTTCGCTGTTAATGCAACAGAAGGATAATAGAAGGCGGCAGATTTCCCAAAAGGCTCCGCCGCAGCACTGTACAGAGCACGCTCTGTAACAGCAGTAAATTAGTAATACGGGTTGTGTTCACAGGGAGTTTTGAGTGGTGCGTATTTTTTTGCGATGAAGTTTTTACTGTGAAAAATGTCGCAAAGTAAAACTGTACATTCATAAAAATTGTGGCAACTTGCACGTGCCATGACTGTGACTCTTGTTACAGTGCGCACTGAGCTCACCTTTGCAGCGACCATGCCGCCGGCGGCCTCGCCGTGCAGCCTCGCTCCCGACCAATTTTTAATCAGAAGACCATCGCTGCGCTCGGGTCGAATAAAAATAAAAATTACTAACCGTTCTGTTATTTTAAAAAGTAATTGCTTGTCATCCACAATAACTCTTAGCGTCAAGAGTTTCATACGGGCTGTTAGCACCCTGTTACCATACGTATGCAGTTTCTGTGCGTAGCAACTAATAATGCATGCAAATGACCTTCTCAATTTTCATACAGACCGAACTGCTTACTTTGCGCGGTATAGTTGTACCTTACCTCCGTTAGGTTTGAATTCTGGTGTCATATGCGAGATCAAATAAGCAGGAGTCAGGAATTTGTAGTTAAATCGTTCGAATTAGTAGTATTCTGTTATTGCCACTGTAATACTATTACTCCGCCCACTGTACTAAAAGCCAGCATCATGAAGTTCTCCCTCACTGCGATCTCCCTTCTGCTTCTCCTGGCCGTATTCAGCGACCCGACGGCGGCCCAGTTGACTGGCACCATGGACTCCACGGGTCTGGCCTATCTGCAGCAGACCGCAATGGCCGCCCGCCTCCGCCGTGCCGACGACAACGCGGCATTTGGCCATCCACGCTCGGTACGCTGCCTGTGCCACGTATTCCCCCCGTGTTGCGAAGAAGGCGACTGGCCGACATACTCATATAATTACCATAATAATTATTACTGGGGCTAATGCAACAATTACTGAGAAACTGCATATGTTGCCAGCGTCGTAGCCAGCAGCTAGTGTTTGGTTTCTGTATTACTAATTTTACGAAATGAAAGTTAATTGCAAGGTTAAGAATGCTCCGATTGCAAGGTTAAGAATACTCCAAGAATGTCTAAGTTTGATTATAGCGTCAGTAAGAGTTATGTCAACACTGCAAATACGATTCCGCAGCTGTTAAGCTAGAGCCTAGAGGCGTCTTATATCTGTAAGTACTTCATACGATTTGAATGTCCTGTAGCATCATTTGCGGCACTAAAGGTCATCTAGAAACAAAAGTCAGGTCGAGAAAAAACTTTGTAAATTCCGACAAAAGGCTTTCTACAACTGAGTGCTTATAAAATTGAAAACGTTTTGCCAAGTTCTACTAACAAGTGGAGCTGTTAAGGACTCCAGACGAGCCGAACAAATTTTAAAGATAACCAATACTGACGTCTTCGTTACCCGGGTATCCTCGGGCCAAAGAAGTTCGCGTGGACCAAAAACGATAAAGCTTGTTATTAATAAATTTCGAAGCTTTAAAATGCCACATGCTTCGATAAGCAAACTGCGCGTTTGCAACATATTATTTTTTTTAATAAAACATTTTAATAATGCGCAAAGTAAACATGGGCAATCGACGCAGCGAAGCATGGCAAACGTTTTCTGTCCATCCGGTTATACAGGTTATTTACATCGCCCAGGTGAGTTAACAACAAAGAGAAGGCCGAAAATTGGGAGAATAAATTAGGTCAATACACGCAGAGGATACCGTGGGATACGGCGGGATACTGCAGATACGAGTAAAAACATTATACGGGCAAAAAAGTCGAAGTGTAGAAGTACTAGTACTAGAGTAGGTATACAAAGTTGTTGGGGCCCGCGCTGAACCTTGGATTCGGAGTTCGATTACTCAAACTTGGATTCGGATTACAAAGTTTACGAATTCACTGTCTTTACGCCGATAAGAAAAACAGTGCATCGTTAGACTGGGATTATGAGTATTACTTAGGCAGAAAAATGACGAGGATTTCATTGGTTAGTAAGCACGCATCGCAGCAACCTTCATCACGGCTGAACCCCAACAACCCGTCACCCTCCACCCGTTTGAAAAATAGCGCCTCTGACCAAATTTACCGCCCTGGGGGCGTTATTAAATGTAAAGCGCCACAAAATGAAGATCTACCGCAAATTGCTACATAATCATCACGATTTAATGAACAAACAATAAACGGTCACGAAGATAATGTGGTGCTATGCTTCAGAAAGCTGCTCGCACGGTTGTGAAAGTGCGAATAC